GACGTGTATATGTTCGTTTCTGCCCTAACTAACTCTCTCTCCTTACGGTAGTGTTTCGTTAGACATCCATCGTCACACGATTTTAGACGCTGAGATGGACTTTATTCTCATAACGATACCGTAGTGTATTAGACAAAGAAGAAATAGTCAGGTGGGGGTAACCGTATATTTTATGTAGCACGTGACATGTCCAATTTTGGGGAAATTATGTAAGGAGGTTAAGGAATATAATGGACTTAATCTAAACATACCTAAGGGTGGAAAAGACGATCTTGATAATAATTAAAAAATTCAGTTTTGTCAAAAGTCCTAGCTTTAGCATCTACTCCATGCGTTAATTAAGTGTGTATTGTGACCAGTTGATGAGGCTGCGCATGCTTAATTCCGAGAATTCCGATGCTGGGTCGACGAGAGATCCGATTCTGATGTCACAAGGTTCTCTCGAGAGATCCGAAGAAGGACGTTATCTGGTTGAAACATACTGCGATTCGCTGCCATTATATCAACGGTAAAATTAGTCGAATATTGATGGAATTTCTGAACCGTTTTGCATTTAGAATTTCTTCAATGCAGACAAACTCCGTTCCGTTTAATCTCTCCACAACACGGATGAATTATGATGACGTAAAACACACAGATTGTGATGACGTAACCTGCACGGATTATAATGATCTAACACGCACGGCTTATAATAAGCTTACCACGCCTACGTTACACACATAACACCATTACAGCGGCTTATTATGATCTAAACTCGTTCTCAAATGTGATCTGTCGACAGTCATGTAGTCTTCATCGTAAACGACGTAGTGACCACATTTGATGACGTTATAACGAAGATGTCGAGCTAACATGGGACACCTTCATTTTTATATTGTTTCATAGAGAGAGGTTCGACTTCGGCCTAACGTCGTAACTCGTAAGATAGGTCAATATCTGCTATACCAGTTGTAGTATATATGTACGTGACGGCGTTGTCAAACGATTCCGCAAATGACGCGACCGGGCGCGTCCTGTCTGGTTTTCGTGACGCGAGGTCTGTCTGGTCTTTGACCATTATCTGTACTCCATGCTGTTTGAAACCTTTTCCATAATCTTTAACCGGTAATTTGTTATTTACTGCACTTCAACATATTTACAACGTCTCTTTGCGTAGCGCCATTTTGTAACATTCGAATATAGTTCTTTCACGGTTCATATTGTTCAGTTGAGAAATCATTATTCGAACGGATATAGATGATGCATACGCATTTACATTGGTCAAAATCACCACATGAATTCATCGCGCATGCGCTTCGTTTTTTCAGAACCAGAAGAAACGACTTCACACCACCCGTTAACTTAAATTTTGAAACAAATCGACGTGCAACAGTTGTCAGCAATTAAATCGACATAAATACACACATAAAAATGACACAAAACAGACAACAAAATGTTTTAAGGGCATGTTGAGGAATAATTTCCCGGCATTAACTCGGATTTATTAATATATTCTGACACCAGCTGTTCACAATTAATACTAGTAGTCCGTAACTGTTAAATGTCTTTTTTATCCACAATACATTAATCGGATTGTTTTTAAACTCAGGGACAGTAAATATCCGGATTTGAATTGTTTATTTTTTGTTTGTTTAGCAAGATTTGTTTTCAACCATTACAATTTAATCAACGTAGTTGTGTTGGTATTTTTAACTGCATTTCATGAACTGTATAAACCGTCATATGACATCGTTCATGTATCTTAAAACATTATGTACAACATGTACTTTTAGGCTAGATACTGTCAATAACTTGTAGGCTAGATACTGTCAATAACTTGTCGGCTAGATACTGTCAATAACTTGCTCGTTTCTCCTCTTTCTTCATCACCAACATTTCATTATCATGTTTTTTGTTTTTGTAAATATATTAATAAAATATATATATAGAGAGAGATTTTTTTAAATCTGTTTGATAATTAATGTTTCTGAGTAACTCCCGAAACATGACGGTGGAAACAATGACGTCATTGATGTATTTGCACCGATGTTTTAGGGTTCGACATATTACTGACTCTATATAAGACGATTTGTCTGATTTCACTGATAATGATTATAAATGTTTTACCGCATAAATAACAGTTTACAAGTAATTTCGTAAACGAAGAGGCATCGTTGATGACGTCATTGATGTATGTGCACCGACATTTTAATGTCGGATTTGGTATTGATTGCCGTCTGTTTTACTTCTTACCTGCTGTATCCGGGAGATTGTACAGGTCGTACTTCGAAAGATAATTGTATTTTCTTCGTGTAATCTTTGCAATAGGATGTTTTGTAAACAACAATACGATGGATGGCCTGTCGCCACTTACGATGTCTGTGTATACTGCATTTGTGAAATCTTAAAATTAAGAAACTGTCCAATACACGGTAAATAATTGAACTCATATTACCACGGAATCGGATTTGATCAAAGTTTGTGAAATTACATTGTGAGATGAGAAAGACAAATACATATGCTGCTGTTAATTACAGAACATATATGTACACGAATAGTAGATGACACGCTTTGTTTCCTACATTCTCATCGGTGGGATAATTGGCGATTTACGACCCTGTGTTACTATTTTTAGAAACAGCAGGGTAATATTCATTCTATGACGTTATTTCAGTTGTAACTTCACAATGTTCTCTGACAGACGCTGTACTCCTCCGTACCATTTCCATACCTTCCACTTTGTTTGATTATTAAAACATTTGTAGCATAGCTGCTATAGCAATTAAGACTTACTTCGGTGAAGATTTGTTTCGTCGAGGTTGATATCACTTTTTCGGGTTCATATAATCACATACTCACCTCTGCAAACGTCTATAATTGATAAATAGGTTGTAACATTTAGACATTCAGTGTGATACAGTGTCTATTACATGGAATGTTACAGATTTCGTGCCAGGTGAGCAGACGGCAAATGAAACGTCTTCACAACAAACGCATTCACAACAAACGCATCCCTTACACAATTGTGGCAGTTATTCGATATAAGTTAATTCCGTAAGCGTAACAGCTAATCGGTTAATACAAAAATAAAACATACAATGATGTACGTATACTAGTTACATATAATTGTTAATGCGCACAACACACCCTAGATATACAATTTGTCACAATCATCATCATCATCATCATCATCTACGTCATTCCCACTCATCATCATCATCATCATCATCATCATCATTATGTGGTAGTCCCTGTAATTCTTTGAAAATGTCTGGTGCAACAGTAACTTTATGAGCCAGTCTTTTCACGGCAACCACATGATTTCAAAACTAAAAAGGGCGGCTTGGATAAACTAGCTAGCCAACATGCAGTACGCTGTTTGTACGATATTACGTAACTTGTGTAAAGCTGAGTCCTCCTTTCAGAAGGAATCACTGTTACGCATGTGTTGAGTTACTAAGTCAGACTGGGAGCTCTCTTGTGCACAATACGTCTAAAAATGTATTCGGAATTGTAAATCTTTGTGATAAAAAACTGGCGAATGGTCATCATGATAGTGTGTGATTAATCTGCCAGGGTTGCATGTGCTACGCCCCTTGTCCCTGTCGGAGGTGTGCTTTTAATTCGAGATCATGGCTATTTATAACGATTGAGGCGCCCTCACAGAAAGAAAAGCATGTTAAATTTTGTTAAAATTGATATGATTTTACGTTTAAAGTCGACTTATGAAAACATAACAACTAACCTCTGTGAATGGTGATCCGGGTCCGGGAGAGAAATCTGACTTTCTGCGCGCTTCTATCAGCGGATAGACATTCACATATCCTTTATTTTCACTGTTTATCCCTTTTTTATAAACTACATTGTCTGACCTATGTACTGGTACAAAAAACGAATGTTTCATGTTTAGTAGCAATATCCGGAGCACGTTCTAAATGAGACCACGCGGACAACAGTATTGTTTTACCATTTCCGTGTTTATAGTCGAGCTTTATTGAAGAGTAGATGCAGTTCACACAAATAGTGTATACTTAGTAGTATGTATTATGTAACCCAGTTCACACAAATAGTGTATACTAAGTAGTATGTATTATGTAACCTAATTCACACAAATAGTGTATACTTAGTTGTATTTATTATGTAACCTAGTTCACACAAATAGTGTATACTTAGTTGTATGTATTATGTAACCCAGCTCTCACAAATAGTGTATACTTAGTTGTATTTATTATGTAACCCAGTTCACACAAATAGTGTATACTTAGTTGTATGTATTATGTAACCCAGTTCACACAAATAGTGTATACTTAGTAGTATGTATTATGTAACCCAGCTACACAAATAGTGTATACTTAGTAGTATGTATTATGTAACCCAGTTCACACAAATAGTGTATGCTTAGTTGTATGTATTATGTAACCCAGCTACACAAATAGCGTATACTTAGTAGTATGTATTATATAACCCAGTTCACACAAATAGTGTATACTTAGTAGTATGGATTATGTAACCCAGTTCACACAAATAGTGCATACTTAGTTGTATTTATTATGTAACCCAGCTCTCAGCAAAGTAGCATACTGTATTTCAAATATAATCCACTTTACATAACTGTACATGTAGCTTATATCGGTAAGTTAATCCAACTCATATTGATATTGCAAATGTCCCTTGGACCTGTTCACAGCATTGCAGCATGAATCCTAAATGTAATGCGGGTCCTTGTGGCGCTTTACAGCACTGTAGTAGATATTTCTAATTCAGCACTCAGCAATGTAGCGAATTACCCCAATGTAATCCAGTTTCTGACTGCAATCCTACAGAAAACCATTTTCTCGTGTAGGATGTGTATGTTCGTTGTATTTTCACTGTTTTCCACTGAGGTCTTTACCGAATTGTAACCCCAATCGACAAAACTACGTCAGGGGAGATGCTGCAGAAAAATGAATTATGAAGAAAAAAACATTGTATCATACATTTTTGCCGATTTAATCAAGAACGCATACCTTTGTATTTTCCAGATACGCTGCTGCCTATTTCACGTGCAATGTGCCTTACAATATGAAGCCGGTCGGGGTTTCACTGGTAACACATCGTTGTGAGAACCCATCCAACTTCATGCTAATTCAGTACCCGGAGAAACAGAGATGGCAGTTCACGGTGTGTGTCACGCCCCTCAACTTCCGGTACAGTAAGGCCTACGAACTGGTCGAGATGATCGAGATGAACCGGATTTTAGGAGCCGACCATTTTGTGTTTTATAATTACAGTACACACGTCAATGTAGACAAAGTTTTGCAGTATTATATTGATAAAGACTTAGTGGAAGTTGTTCAATGGCATCTTCCCATGAAGGTCGATGTTTGGCCCAAGATAAAAGGGCATACGACAGAAATCCATTATTTTGGTCAACTCGGTGCTTTAAATGATTGTCTATATAGGAATAGATATCGAAGTAATTTTTTAGTTTATCAAGATTTGGATGAATTTATATTTCCCTACAAGCATCAGAATTGGAATGAAATGATTGAATCGTTACCACGTCGTGGTGTGTATATGTTTAGAAACACATTCTTTCGCAAAGACTGGAACGACACTGAGGAATTGTTCGACGGGAAAGATCTCGCTAAGAAGTATAAATCTACTATACTTTTAAAAACTTGGAGAGAAGCAAAGATATTCGGCCTAAGACAGCGCTCAAAATACATTATCAACCCTAGGAAAGTTGACACGGTCGGAATACACAATGTTTGGAAGGAAAGGTCGGCGTCTAGTTTAATTAACGTACCTCGAGATGTAGCTTTGATGCATCATTATAGAGATTGGGAAAACCCTCACGATAAAACTAAACGTGATGAGGATCAAACAGCCCTTAAATACAAGGATAAATTACTGGGGAAGCTGAAGACAGTTTGGTCAGTCCTGAAGGACGTTGAGCTGGGCCCTTTAGGGTTCTGAATAATCCATGATAACGTTAGAGAATGTTGTTGTTGTTTACAGAATGTTAACGTCTATTTTTGTATGAATTGTTGAATTGCTGTATTTTTTATGTAATACAAATTGAATTGTGTTTACACATTTCTCAATTGGATGAATTCGTGGTGATTTTAGAAGTGAAATATTAGTATTTCTTTAAAAGGACTTGATATAAGTTGTAAAACTTGTGCCCAATTCCATTGCTATGTAAAAAAGGCAATAAAATATGTTTAAAACAAAAACAATAACATTTCTTTAAAACTACAATCCTAATACCAGTGTTTCCTCTTCCGTTATGTTGGGGTTCTATTTCCAAATTTTTTCTAATGCAACCAATTGGGACGTTAAACTCCATTAAAGAAAAAAAAACACTTCAATTTGAGATAGAAATACCCATTTTTTAACGTTTATGATGGTATAAAACACACTTCAGTTTTAACATATTTACACATATGTTTCAAAGGAAATCAATACCGTCATAAATTTTGTAGAGGTAGTTTACAGTTCTTAAACTTGAGTTCAAAATAATAAAGACGGTTAGAGGTTGTCAACCAAATTGACTTAATGGGTTGCATACTATACACTGGTAAATTCCGATTGAAGCTCCCTGGTACGTCTATATACTGCTTATTTAACACACCACTTCAAAGGTTCCACGGGTTTTACTGCTTGTAAAGAGCAATATATGTTTTTATTCACGAATCCGGGCTAAGTTATCACCGCTCAAACAAGCTTTTATACCAACTATTGTGTCGTAACTCGCCCGGCTCATAAGACGTGATAGTGATAAAAAAAGCACGTACAAATGGGTGTGCAATGGTTTTCAGTATAGTGCCATATCTGTATAGAATAGGTTACTCCAAGTCCCAACGAAATACAATGCATACAATCAATAGATAAAATCAGTGCATGTTTCAATTTCTAGTCAAGTTTGACTCGATGCAATTACCAGATGTTTCATTTGCCCATGAAGTTAGCCAGGTTAACATGGCCTGTGAGTATGAAACGCGTCAGAAAATTCTATATTAAAACTTAAGAATTTATCAACGAAATTTAAATATAACATTTAAAATATGTGTTTGTGGTTTGAATCTTCCATCATAATTTGACTGTATTCAACTATCAGCGTACACCGGCATGTTGTATGATGGTCCTTCAATGACGTAATTGTTTCTTACAAAACGTCAATACATAGACTTGCACAAGCTCCATTATCTTGGACAAACTACCAGAATGGACTAAACACATGTTGATTGAAACATAAGGTTTGAATATAGCTTTGGTGGATTTCATGGGGTGATGAATTGAGTTGGTCTTGAAACAAATTCAACATGAACTGGCAGTTCATTAGATTTGTTTCAAGACCAGCTCAATTAATCACCCCATGAAATCGACCAAAGCGAGATTCAATCCTTCAATGACACAGAAGCTGCCTTACCGGGCGCTAAGCACTAATCTTATGTCATTTGGCTAACATAGTTAGCATGGGAAATGGTACCGAGCTACAAATCTAGGCTAATTATAGATACCTAGTACCACAGATAGTGGGATTAACACGAGATGTACAAAGTGTTCTTTCCATCTGAGCTAGGAATTAAGCTTGCACACGGAATATTGACTTTGAACATTAAAAAAGTATCAAATTTATTGAAAAACTATACCAAGGTTGTTTAATGTTAACATGATTATGGATCAATGGAATAAAAAGTGTAACTATTTGGGAATTTTGGGTTCTACGACATGAAATAATTCTAAATCAAAACTCCTAGTTACCAAAGTTTTGACATTCTTGGCAAATCGTATGGTGTGTTTGGTACTGTGTTACATGTGTTATGATGAATGAGTTTGAAAGTTTTTTTTATTTAAAAGTATTTCTAGTTCTCCGTTATGGTCGAATGTGTTTACTCCTACGATTTTGTTGTTTTAATATTGTATATTTTAACTTAAATTACAATGTGCTTCGAAATGCCAGGGACATCACATTGCAACCTGCCTAATCTGGCAACCTGTGAGACGCAATTTGTTGGTCAGATTACCTTGTCTAATCCGACACCCTGTGAGACACGACTTATTTCTAATCGGACACCATGTGAGACACGGCTTATTGGTCAGATTACCCGGTCTAACCTGGCACCCTGTGAGACAAAACTTATTGGTCAGATAACCCTGTCTAACCTGACACCCTGTGGGACACAACTTATTGGTCAGATTACCCTGTCTAACTTGACACCCTGTGAGACACAACTTATTGGTCAGATTACCCTGTCTAACCTGACACCCTGTGGGACACAACTTATTGGTCAGATTACCCTGTCTAACCTGCCACCCTGTGGGACACGGCTTATTGGTCAGATTACCCTGTCTAACCCGACACCCTGTGGGACACAACTTATTGGTCAGATTACCCAGTCTAACCTGACAACCTGTGAGACACGACTTATTGGTCAGATTACCCTGTCTAACCTGACACCCTGTGGGACACGGTTTATTGGTCAGATTACCCAGTCTAACCTGACACCCTGTGAGACACAACTTATTTTCAGATTACCCTGTCTAACCTGACACCCTGTGAGACACGGCTTATTGGTCAGATTACCCTGTCTAACCTGACACCCTGTGGGACACGGTTTATTGGTCAGATTACCCAGTCTAACCTGACACCCTGTCGGACACGGCTTATTGGTCAGATTACCCAGTCTAACCCGACACCCTGTGGGTCACGGCTTATTGGTCAGATTACCCAGTCTAACCTGACACCCTGTCGGACACGGCTTATTGGTCAGATTACCCAGTCTAACCTGACACACTGTGGGACACAACTTATTGGTCAGATTACCCTGTCTAACCCGACACCCTGTGGGACACAACTTATTTCTTATCTGACACTCTGTGAGACATAGCGTATTGGTCAGATAAGACAAGGTATAGGTATATACAGTTCTGATTGGTAGTTTACTTAAGAAAATTAAGAATATCATGACATTGAATTAGACAGGACTTCTGAATACCTAGGGGTCAGATTAGACGGTGAACAGAAGACAGATGAAGCATGACTAGAGATTTCTACTGGGTTTTATTAAAACAAAAAATTAAGTATTGCATCTAAGGAATTATCACTTACATGACGTTTAGTTAGAAAACGAATTACTATGGTAATAAAGCTTATGGCAGTTCGTGATTTGATTTTCTTTCCTGTGAACTAAATACACAAAAATAGCGAGTACGCAGCTCTAAAGATTTTCCTTAATTATTTAGAGGCACGGTTCTCTAGTGGTAGGACGCCCGGCTCGGGACCGAAGGGTTGCGGGTTCGAGTCACGGCACGGCACTGTGTTGTATCTGTGAGCAAGATACTTTACTCCGCTTGTTTCAGTCTACTCAGCTGTAAATAATTTGTGAACTGCTTTGAGACTTCCTACGAACTATGTTGTGATAAAGCGGTATAAAAGAACCTCAAATTATTATTAGGTTCGTCTGCTGGATAACCGAACTACTCGGTAGTAAAGCGGACGTAACACCTATCAATCAATCAATCAATCAATATTATTATTATTAAGGAATGTACGTGAAACTTGGTCCTGCCTTTCGCTTTGCATTACATATAGTTATATGTCGATGTGCATGCATATTCATTATTGTTGACAATTATCGCTTTATCAAACGAGGGCTGCTACTAGTTGTGCATGGCTGATGTCGTTGATTCCATCTAAACATTATTGTATATTTTGGATTAGGTCAGAATTAGATCTGCAATCATGTTCTGCTTTTCAAATAAATACATTCATCGACCAGCATACTCCAATAACAACTTCGTTACTCTGGTTTTACTAGTAGTGAATTTAGTTTGTGTGCGAAGGTGTGAAGTGAGTAGAACCGATACCAAAGGTATCGCTAAATTATTGAGCGTTTGATTTATTTGATATTTTGAAGAATGTTCTGTTCAATTTTTCATCTTTTTGCTGTGAAACAGCAGACATTTTAAAATTTATTTTTTGATAAAAATTAAGAAATGCATTTTCATAGTCTGTTATTTGTTTTCTTACCATTGCCTAACTATACCATCAGAATAATGACGGCCGGTTAATTGTCAAATACTGTGGTACTATTTCGCGAAGTAGCGGTTGGGTTCCGTGGCATCACGTGGTCAACTTAACTTCCAAGTCAACAGATGTTAGGTCACTCGATTGTTATCTAACCAACATCTTGCTTTATAACCTGATCCCATATTCATGAAATCGTTCTCATGCTCAAGCATAGATTCTGTGCTCAAACCAACGTTCTTGTAACTCGTTTAAATCATGTCAAACGATCAAAACGTCAAATGTAAACACTGAAAATAGTATTTGGCTTTACGTCTCTTCAATAATTTTCCAAAACGTTGACAAAACCATTGTTTTTCATTGGTTTTTAAACGGGAACAAGAAATTCGTCTTCAGCACAAAATCCATGCTTGAGCGTTAGAACCGTTTAAGGTAATAGGTTTGTGTCGCCATTTCACGGGAGAATTTTGTAGTTATATTGCTTTGAAGTAAAGAAAAATGTTCTGCCACAAAAAAAAAAAAAAATAGGTTGTCAGAATTTTAAGAATTAAAAATGGAAATTTATGTAAAAAGGAGTGAATTTTGAACAAATAATGAAAGACACAATTTTTTGCAAAATAATGTTAATAAAAATGGTACTGCCATAGATTAGTATTGCATTAATGTATATCATATATCAATTTAATAAGTGCTGAAATTGTGTAAAAAAAAATATTTATAAAAGATTAAAAATTGACATTTTATAATAAAACGATATACCACGGAATTAGAACACGGAATTCATATACACATAGTAATTGCATGTAAGAGTTATCTTTCTTGAAAAACTTCACAGTAGTGAAATAGGTAGCCGATTTCCTGAAGTACAGAAAAATGGACACATGTGACTCATTGATAAAAAAAACCCACCTGAACTAATGACTGGATTGATTTGAAATACTTAATATGTAGAACACACTTTTCTGTCAATAATAAACATACAATATTCATCATTTTAAGATTAAACATTAGAATATGCGGAAATTGTGATACTGTCTCCCTACATTGGATTTTCAACTAGGGATGTACTTCCTATTTCTGTTTATCAATACACTCATTCGACCTTATATGTATACGGGCTCAGGTGTTTGATCATTTGAGCTACAAAACAGATAGCATGATCTTGGGACATTTTTTTTTTAAAAGAAGACCTTTTGATAATTAAAAAAGTATAGCCCTGTGACCTTGAACCTAGAAGAATATCCTGACATGCTTATGGCCAAATATCATTGAGTTTTTCAAATAGTAAAAAGGATTAAAATAGTTCACCGCTTTGACAAATAATGATGGTCAAGGTTTGCTAATTATTCACATTTGATCGTCCTTCCCAAAGCACGCTTCTTGCCAAATGACTTGGGCCTACTTAGAAGAAGTATTATCGTTTAATGTTTTAAGACATTTGACCTCTGTGACACTGAAATACTGTTAAAGTAATTCATTATAACAAAGTTGATAGCTGTTTAGCTTAATTAAAGAATGGATGACGGAAGCCGCACTCTAGTATAAACTCCAGCGAAAAACGTCTGTAAATGATGTTTTCATTACTTCTAATGTATATCTTTGTAAATCCGTCACATGTTTTAGCCAATGTGGGGCAGTCGCCAGGTACTGATCGTAGATCGGTGGTTTGTCTCCGGGTACTCCGGCTTTCGTCCACCTACGAAACCTTGTTCGTTTTTAAATGACCATACAAGCTGTCATGAGACGCAAAATGTAACGTTGATCAGGATCCAAATCATCCCTATTACGTAAGTATAACTACTTGTACAAATCCAAAGGCTATGTCAGTGCACGTGGACACGTGTGGGTTAAATGTAACCATATGCAATGTTTCATGTTTCACTCCAAAGTTTTGGACAGAGAGAGCAATCTGTTCAAGTGACAAATAAAGGAAGCCATCTGGATACGACGCAGTGGGCCAGTTCTAAATCGAGATGAGGGGGCTCAAAGACTCTCGCACATCTATAACCAAGTATTAAACACAGCGTAGCCGAATCGAGTCATTTCGGTTCATATATAACACCTATTGTTCATACGCTCACAGCATAGCCGAATCGACTCGATTATGGGGACAGCTCGTACACATTTTACACCTTTGTGTGCATACGCTTCACTGGTCATTTGTCTGATGAAGATGACAGTGTACATCCAATAGAGCAAAGGAAATGCCCTTTTTGCTTAAATATAGAGGAAGCTGAGTCTCATTTCCTTTGTGACTGTCCTGTGTATAGTGATATCAGATATGATCTATTCAAAAACGCAGTGAACTCCTTTAGTTATTTTAATGAACTTACTTCAACTGAAAAGTTGTTTTATTTATTGCAGGATAATGCGCTTCAATTTTCACTTTCTAAAACAATTTATTTTATGATGAGACGGAGATGGTCGCTTTTAAATGTGTAAATATACAATTGTAAATTATAATGTATCGCAATATTGATTTAACTGTAATGTGATGAAGAAAGATATGTGATTCTACTATTCTATCAGTTTTTACATTCCACTCCCTTGGCATACTAATGTGTGAAATGTATGTACATGTAAATAACACTTAACACACCTGTGTCCAGTTCTGACAGCAGGAGGCCAAACACACCACTTTATACCTGTGTCCAGGTATGACATCAAAGGGATGTCAGCAGGTGGGCAAGGAGGTACCTTTTCTTATCTAGTTCTAGTTCAAGTTCATAATCTTTATTACCTTGGGTCGTTTGACCCATCGGTTTCAAAAGTAAGATATATTTACAATATCTGCAGACAATACAATACAATACATGCAATACATACAATACAATACCAGCAATGTACAAACAGTACCTGAAGTTAGAACATATTTAAGTTGGTGAAGATTATGTGTCTTTCATTTTTCCATTTAACAGCAATATCCTCAGGCTAGATAACGGGGACATATGTATTTGCTAACACGGAAATTATCCCCTCTCAATACCTTTATATAAAATGCAACTTTACAAGATAACTTATGTCACGAAAAGTACAAACTTATTCATAATGTTTCAAGTTTTGTATAATTGGGGGTAAAAAGAATACGGGTTGCTGCTCATTTTGAATATAGATTATTGTACCGGTGCTTTTTTTTTTTTTAATAATTTCAATCGCATATCTTCAGATTGTCAATTATGTCAATTTTACACCAACTTAATCCCCCTAGGCTTCTAAAGGCGTTTCCTTGTTGCATAAATGGATGGAACGGTCAGACAGCACTATAGCAAGGAGAGGAAAGGGGTGGGGTGGGGTGGGGTGCGCTTACGTTTGACTCAGTTTTCAATCAATTGTTTTGTGCTGTATAAAGGGACTCATCATATTTTCCAGAGACCAAATGAATAAAAAAAAATATTGCATTTACAGTCATTAGATTAACGAATACGGATTCATTTAGGTAGCATCCGCATGTGTGTTCGGACACCCGCATGTGTGTTCGGACATCCGCATGTGTGTTCGGACATCGGCATGGTTGTTCGGATATCCGCATGGTTGTTCGGACACCCGCATGGTTGTTCGGACATCGGCATGGTTGTTCGGACATCCGCATGGTTGTTCGGACACCCGCATGGTTGTTCGGACACCCGCATCAGAGACATAATTAGTATCTATACGTATCTGTCCCGCATACAGCATATCGTTTACCTCCTCAATAGGAACTCATTTCATCATCAAAATTGTAAAAAAAGAAAATAATGTGTATGTATGTTACACTTTGAATATTACCTACACAAGTAAGTGACGACGGAACATATCGCGTAAATAAGCTCGCATATCGGACGTACGATCGAAGCCTCCCGGTATATTCCAATAAGGCCGTTGTAAGCCACCCAAATCGAGCTGAGGCAAAGATGTGTTTTTCAGAAAAATTGCAATATCTCGAAAACGAAGGCCGTCGTCGACGACGTTCACACTTTTTAACCTTTTCTTGCATAATATGAAGTATTTTCGTAACGTAAAATAGCAAATCATTCAGGGAACACCTTAACCCCC